ACAGGATTTCCACACACACACACACAGACGAAGAGACAGAGGGAGAGAGAGAGAGAGATGGAGATTGACAAAAACCGCGCAGATAGAAAGAGAGAGACAGGCAAACCACGGCGCAGCCCAGCTCACCTCGGTGATGTCAACATTGAGCTCCAATGCCAAAGGCTTGTAGATAGACCACAGAAGATCTCTCCTCAACGGCGGATCGGTTTCAGGTTGCGGCTTCAGGGCTGTAGGGCCTGAGGGCTCAGAGGTTTAGGGCTTTGGGTGCCCGATATGGGCACATTTCATAGTAGTAGCCTGTCACAGTAACAAGGAACCCGAACGGACTCATATTTTGGTGGACCCATGCATCCTTACTACTACTACTACTACTACTACTACTACTACTGCTACTCCTACTACTACTACTACTACTACTACTACTGCTACTCCTACTACTACTACCACTACCACTACTACCACTACCACTACTACTACTACTACTACTACTACTACTACGACTGCTAGGACAACCACTGCCATCACAATGCCACAGAAGGCTTTTTGTCAAAAACCGCACCGCGCGGCGACTGAAGCTTCCCCTTATAAGCTGCTGGAATGGCCATCCGAGACACGAAAGCGACAAATGCAACACGACCAGCCGGCAGCGCATACTTCGACAACTTGGTCCGGTGTGAGTTAGACACCATGGATCCTGTGGTCACCGGCCTTCCTGTCCTGAGAACGGAAACTATCAATAATTTCAGTTTGTGGGGTTCCGAGTGCCTGACGCCTTTCTGGTTAGGCCCATCAAGCGTGCCGAGCGGATCAGCTTGAGTTTTGTGAGCCCGTAGGCCAAAGCATTCTCCTGTACGCAGTCAAGATCAAAAAAATCAACAAAGCAGAAACCTTGCCGCAAATATCACATTTTTCTTCGGTAAATCGACGAAAAAGACATGGCCTCAGTCGCAGTTGATACAGGTTATCTTTCAAAAAATTAGACGGAGTTTCGACTCTAAGACCTGTCGAACTTCCACAGGCAAAGCCTTCGATGCAGAAACAATTCAGAAAGATGCGCAGTGTCAACAAGGGGTTTAGGGTTTAGGGTTTAGGGTTTAGGGTTTAAGGTTTAGGGTTTAGGGTTTAGGGCTCACCAGCGTGTCCAGTCGCTCCAGGCTGGAAAAGCGAGCGACAAACATTTCCTGCGCTGTCGGCCTGTGTGTCAACGGTGTGCTGCAGGAAAAGAATAGCTCTCCAGCCTGGACATCTTTGGAGAAGGAGGCAACGGACGCCAAAATGAACTGTCGAATCAAAATGGCTTCGTCCAAGCTGCACGGCTCAAACCTTAAAGAGCCAGTATGGAAGCGGATATTATCGACTGCTTCAAATTTGATCGCCAGAAATAAGACTTTGACACCGCCAAAAGTTATATTTCAAGCTTTGAAAGCGAGTTGTTTGCCTGGCCATCACCAAAGCGAAAAGTAGGAGGCGCAAGGAGCAAAGTTTGAAAAGACCAGAATGCTGTGTATGCATTGGTTCGTTTTTACAGTCTGTCAAGTTTGAAAAGGTCAATACCGATCCCGAAACTCAACCTTTTGAGTTTGGGTGCAGTCTTAAATCTAAGAAGTTTCTCTTTGCAGCCGAAAAACAGCAAACACTGGCAACAAATTTTGGACTGACAAGGCTCGAGCAGCCGAAATTAGCGAATCATCCGCTTTCAAAGTCTTCTCAAACGTTTCAGGTTTATACGAATAGGTTTTCGAATCTGTGAAGCGCTCCGAAGAGTTCGAACCGTGAGTTCGAAAATTCTATGTTCGAACTCTGGTGCCCTAAATGGAACCCCTGTAGTAACCTTGCAGGAACCCTATTCTCATTCTTGAGGCCCGTATATTACAGCAGCCGCGAGCCCAAAGCCCCAAAGATCAAACCACAGCAAAAGTAAAGCCCGAGAACGCTGAACTCCTGCTCGGTCCTAAACCCAAAGCCCACTTCTCAGTTTCACCCAGTTTCTGTGACGCCACAATGTTCTGCACCTGCGCTCCGAGCTCTTACTGAGCTCCACTTTACGGTTTTAGGGTTTGGGCTCAGGGCGAGGGTTTAGGTTGTAGGCTTCAGGGGGCTCTTGTCGAGGAGCTAGTTAAGCTATCGCTGCTGAATCATAGCGCCTCCTTCTTGTAACAACAACCTTCTTTAACCAGAACTCAATGTGCTTCGAGGAGATCGGTGTCTCATAGGCCATCATGCAGGAAAAGGGGCAAGGGGCATCTTTCTCTTACCCTTCCCTTCAGCACTTCAGGAACCGAAACCACCGTAGCAAACAGCCTCCCAAGCATTGATCTGCTTTCTGTAAGCATTCGGGACACAACGCGGTTGAAACCGCAGAAGCTTGCTGAGTTCAGTAGTATGGCCGAAAACTCGTAAACCTATCGAGTACGTGTAGCCCCAAAAATCTATCCTCAAAGGACTCTTAGAGAATATATCAGGAAATTATGACAAGGAAATTTTCCAACCGAAAGAACTTCCGACGAAGCCTTGCGGGGGTTCTCCGCTAAGCCGACACGGATGTCTCCAAGGTACGAGAGCTCCACGACCTGTTCGAGGTTTGGAATTCAGGGATTCCGTGTAGGAAATATACCCCGGGAAAGGCTGTAGCGCAACACGATGTAAATTCTACCCTAAACCCAAGCCCAGTCGTGGGAAGCAGAGAATAGCAGCCAGGACAATACCCGGGCCTTCAGAGTTCGAATGGGGCTCCGCGTTTTTCGAGGCAGGATATCATATCGTCATATAGTATACGATATAGGGACTTGAACGGTACACTCATTCCCCCTGGGCTTCTTCAACATGAGGCTTAGGGTTTAGGAACCCCTCAGAACCCTAGTCTAACTATTCTAGACCTCGAAACTGACCTGCCCAGCTGCAAGTCCTAAACCACTGCATATCTCTGTATGCCAACGAAATGTGCATCCAGCGCCACAGAAATGCAAGTCGCTCGTGCGTGTGATGACTTATACCCCAACCCAGGCCTCTTGAGTTGCTGTTCTCATGCGCGGTGACAAGCCGCAAGACCATGCTAGGGACACCAAGCACTAATAAACCTGTACCGGAATTTACAGGTGCAGCCTTCTGGGCTGTTTGGTTGGAGTAACAATCTACCCGAACCCTCAAGCCTAAACCCTAAACCCCTAAACCCCTAAACCCCAATACTGCCTGGTTGCAGCTACGAAAAAATCGGCGCAGGGTCTCAAACGACCGTAATCCGATTTCCACCCCAACGAAGCCCTCGACCCTAAACTGGAAGGGTTTAGGGTGTAGCGGTTTAGGGTTTAGGGTTTAGGGTTTAGCACTATGAAACCCTAGACCTTGACCCCTAAACCCCAAGTCATCAAACCCTTCTAAACCCTAGACCCTGAACCCTTAAATTTCAACATGACAGGAAGAGGGCGACCTTGGCCAGAACTTCCTGAGCAGCTGCCTCGTGCAGGTTTATGTTTTAGGATTTAGGGTTTAGGGTTTAGGGTTTAGGGTTTATGCTTCTAAGACTTTTGTGAAGGCGGGGGGGTTCTCTGTAAGGCCTGCTTAGGTTCTTGCTTATAAGAGAGTTAGAGGGGATGCTGAACTTAAGCTGCAACACCAAAATAAAGAAAGCATGTTATTCCCTGCGTGCGGTGGGGGTTGGGCTGAGAGGCTGAGAAGTTGTTCAACTTTTTCTGCTAGGGTACCAGGTCCAGTGTCCCTGAACCCTAAACCCTAAATCCAAAACCCTACATTCTACACCCTATACCCTAAATCCAAAATCCTACGTTCTACACCCTGAATCCCAAATCCCAAACCCTACATTCTACACCCTAAACCCTATTCTGAGTGCATCGCAAAGGACTTTCATCTGGACAGGAAGGACTTGGAGCCCGGAGCTCCAAGATCACTACGTCCCAGTTACCCAGACCGCCGGGAGGATCTGAAAAGTAGATCCCCTAATTTGGGACCCAAACTACTAAAGCGTACTTTATAGGAACCCCCGTCAAGGGATCTCTTTTTGCGATCCTCCCGGTGGTCTGGGTATGGCAACAAGCAATGACAGCCCTGCCGCCCGCCCATAACCCCTAATACATCCCTTTAACGGAACCCCAATAGATCCTTTTAAAGGAACCCTAATAGATCCCTTTAGCGGAACCATTATAGATCCTTGTAAGAAACAAAACAGATGATAATCGAAGCAAAAGCCGATCCTTCTGCAGCTCATAGACCTAGAAAGCACACATTACAGCCCGTGCCCTGCATCCTGAACTTTCCCGTCCTGGGCCAACACCCGGCATACACCCTCACCATCCTTATGGGAGGTGGACTCGGAGATTGGCTTAGCCATTTTCCGGGTCCTCCCAACCCTAAACCCTAACCCTAAAGCCCGAAAAGACTGGCCTCCCCGGCACCTATGGACAACAGAGCCGCAGCCAATGCCGACCGGCGACTTTGGACCTCGTTCGGGGCTCCGGGGTTTGGGGTTAAGGATTAAGGCTTGCGGCTTAGGGGCTGTGCGTGCAGCGGGTGCGATTCTTGAGGAATGGGGGGCACGCCCACTTATCGCGAGCTGGCATCAGCATGTAGTCCCGCCCCAACCACCCCAACTGTTCGTTTCGGGTTCACCCCCTTGCACCCCTGATGGGGGGCTTTCTTGATCTCTGCTTCCTTTCGCAGTTCGACACAGAAACGACCACAAACCGCAGCTGAGATGAATTAGTGTCGGGTTGTGGGCCTGTGCCGGCCGCTCGACGAGAAGCAAGGGTTCCCAACAATCAACCCGCCCCTCATGCCCTGTGCAAAATGGAGGTTACAGCAGGCAGACAAGGCCTTGAAAAGGCTGAGCCTCGGCCCGGCCCCTGGCAGACCCCCTCTGCCCCAGGGCAGACCCAAAAACCACTATCGTTTTTTGGTGGCGCGCTTAGGGTCCTAATTATACTGGGCTGATGCCCATAGTGTGTGAGCCGTCGCCGCGTCATTTCCGTCTCCGTATTCCGGGAGGCTTTACCCTCCCTCACCGTTCTGTCGCGACGCTCGGCCGGGGGCCTCGGTCAGAGCCTCGAGCGCCCATGCAGATGGTCCGTGGTGCTCTCGGCAGTTTAGGGTTTAGGGTTTTAGAGAGTTTAGGGCTTTACAGCGCCGGGGGTTCAGGGTTTGGGACTTTGAAAGGATCTATGAAGGTTCCCCAAGCGTTCTCTACAGGATTTTGTGTGAAATTGTGGCTTCTCGGTTTAGAGTTTCGGGTTTAGGGCTTAGGGTCCAGGGTTTAGGCCGAGGGCTGCTTCTGCTGACGTGTGCTCATTGCAAGCCTCCGTTGTCAAGACTGAGGAGCAGGAGCCACGTCGCCACAACAAGACTCCAGGCAGTGGTAACCAGGGCTGCGCAACTCCACAGAAAAATGATAGTGGCTTACGGAGTGCTGTAGGGTTGGTCGTGGGTTTAGGATTCCAAAAAGGGCGTGTGTTCGGTTTGTTCTTTCGGGGGAGGTTTGGCCTGCATGAGTAGATTGCGTTTTTTGCGGGCTGTATGTTATAAACATATCTGGGAAGCCCTAGGAGAGCAAGTTTTAAAGATTGTTCAGGACCCTAGACTAGAAAGGAAAGCCATGTAGAATCGGAAAGGCCCTCTCCACTGTAAACCTTGAACCCGTTCCCCCACCTCAACCCGGGTTTAGGGCGGCAAAAATCGGGTTTAGGGTTTAGGACGCTTAGGAGGGTCTAAAAGGATTAGGGTTTAGGGGTTGCAGGGTTTAGGGTTTGAAGGTTTGGGTCCTGAAAGGCTTTGTGTTCGACGGCTTCATTTCTTGTTGTCTTAGATCCAAAAAAGGGCCGAGAGGAACTTTATTTGGTTCTCAGTTGCAGGAGGCCTATAGCTCGGAGAGTTGTTGCAAGGCCTGTTAAAGAATGTCGTGCAGACATGTCCTGGTTGTATGTTTGATAGTTTCGTTTGGGATTCCAAAGTCCTGAAGAACTTCAAAGTGACCTTTGGTAGGTTGAAACGGTGCCTGGCCGTTTTTTAGCTGAGGGTTGTCAGGATTTCCAGGGTTTGAGGAGTCCCCAAAAACGCTAGGGGTCCATGTGCCCAAATAGTATATAAACTTTGGCCTTAAGGTGGTCCCTACACAGGTACTTTGGGGCCAAAGTACATACTTTTTGGGCACATGGAACCTGAAACCCTGAACTCCAGGCCCCTAGGGTCCCCTTAAAGGAACCCTTAAACGTAACGTTAAAGGAACCCTAAACATACCCTTCAAGGAAGCCTTAAAGGAACCTGACATGGGGATTTCCGAAAATAGGGGACCCTAATATAGTACCGTAAATAGTAGGATCCCTATTATAAGGACCCCCAAAATAAGGTACCCCTATTTTCGGAAACTCCCACATGGACCCTCAAAAAAGCTCGAACCCTCATCTGAGGCCCCGCGCGGATTTCTCGGCCAGCGCGGCCCGGAAGCCGGAGTTTTTGGAAAGCCAGGTCTCGCGGTAGGGCTTCTGCAGCCTGTGAGGGTTTAGGGTTAAGGGTTTGGGGTAGGACCCTAAAGCCTAAAGCCTAAACCCCTAACCCTGAAGCCTAAACCCTGAACTCTGAACCCTTAAACCCTAAAGCCTAAACCCTAAACCCTGGGAGGGAGGAATTCTAAAGCGAGTTTTGTGTTTGGGGTACGATTTGGGACTGTAGGACCAGGAGTCTCGGGGTGGAGGGATCACAACGGTCCCTAATGTCGGTAGTTGTCAAAATTAGGGTTCAGGGTGTAGGGTTTAGGGTGTGGTGGGGTTTAGGGTTTAGGGTTTACGGTTTAGGGTTTAGGGTTTAGGGCAAAATTATGGCCCCTTTTGGGGTACCCTAAATAATAGGTGCCGTATTATAAAAAGGACCCAAAAAGGGACCATAATTCTGACAACCACCCATGTAGAGGTCTTAATAATTAGTGTGGGGTTTTGGTGGTTTCCTTGTTGTAATTATAGTACAATATAGCCCAAAACCCTACTCTAACTGTTAAGGCAAAGCCCTGAAGCCCCAATTGTAAGCATGACTACACTACGGCTGATGATATAAATCCTGCATTCATACCCAGAATAAGGAATGTACCATAGTTCCCATAGTCTAGGGTCCCTAAGGTACCCAGAGAACCCATTACACCGTAATTGAGGAACATACCTTAAATTATAGTAGGGTCCCTAATATGATTTAAGGTATATTCCTTAATTATGGGGTATAGGGCTCAAGATCGCCAGCCAGAGGCTGGAAGACTAGTTGCCCCAAGCGCCAAGAGGCGCATCTACCACTGACCCCTCGCCATAGGGAAGCATCGGTGGTCACCCTCCTGGCATCGGCGCTCCAGGTCCGCTCGAGCGAAGGTTCGCGATAAGCTGCGTGCAGGTGTCCGGCCAACAGTCCGGCAGACTCGCCGCTTGCTGTCGCACCACGCGACGGACCCAGCACAACGACGCCGACTACAGGTACTCATGGGGCGCGGAGGGCGCGCCAGCAAGGCACAGAAAGAGGCCAATGGTGGATGGCAGGCCAACGTATGGCGTGGCGCCTACTCGCCCTCACAGCGACCTTGGCGTCAAGACCGTGGCCGGGAAGCTGGCTCAGGCTGGGAGGGGAAGTCTTTCCACTTCCCGACGTACCAGGACATGCTGACCGAGGCGGAGAAGGAGCAACGCAAGGGCCAGGGCAAAGCTCCGGCTGCCATGTCGGATTTAGGCCCGGTGCAAGGACTGCAGCAGCTGCTCAATTCTGCTCGGAAAGCAGAACAAAAAGTGGCCCGCCTACAAGCACAGCGCGAAAAAGCCGAGCTTCAGTATCAGGCCTATGTGCAGGAGATGAAGCAAATGTTCATCAAGGAGAAGCGGAAATTCGGAGCCAACCTGGAACGGTTGGACCGCGATATCGCCGAGGCTACGGAAGGCCAGGAGAAAGCGAGACTTCTGATTTTCAAGGCCCGCGGTACAGACACAGTGTCGGATGTTCCCGACCCCATGGAGGAGGAAGAGGACGCAGCCTGGGAGGCTACCAAGTGCCAATGGGAGCAGGAGACCTCGCAAGATCTGGATGGAGTGATGGCCAGAGCACTGGCCCAGGCTCGTGCGGCTGGCCTAACTCCTTTCACCCCGCAAAGGGGCCGCACTGCGCCTCCGATGACTCCCAATCACCAAGCAGCTCGGGGTGTGGATATGCAGATGGAGCTCCCGTTGGATCCGTACATGGCTGCAGTTCCGGAGGTTATGCCGGGCCCGAGCAGCACCCCACCAGCCACGGGAGGGCCTATGGCTGGAATGAGGCCACCTGGCTTGGCGGAGGCTACGTCGCACCGGCAGTCGCCAAAGCATCCAGGACAGAGGGATGCCAGTCTTGCGCGCCAGATGACCTCGACGGCACCTCCCAGAGAAAGCATAAAGGAAGCTACAAAAGCGCCTCCCCAACTGCCGACGACGGGATTGTCCCTTGGAGAAAAGCTGGAGCAACGCCGAGCAGCCGAGGCCAAGGAAATGGCCTTGCGGCCCTTCGGTGTGGGCGTGCTGGCCCCAATCCATGGTGGGACCCCGATCCAGGCCTCTATCCTCGACGACGACAGCGACGAAGTGTTTTCAGCCGACGGCAAGGCCAAAGGGGATTGACTGGCTATGAGTGCAGTTGTTTGTACAGTCTAGGTGCACTCTGGGACATGTCTGTGGGAACGTGCGATGTTGAATGGCTGGAGGACCCGGGGCGGGCTGACCTCTCACTCCTTGTGGGAACGGAGTATAGAGCTCATCCCTGCCCAGCGTCCCTCGGTCAAATTCCCTCGCATGATTTCTACAGCCATACTTCCTGTACTGCCCTTGTTCTTTTCCGTAGGGTAGGCAGTCTCACCATACAGGTGCTTTCGGCCCCGGCTAATCGCTCGACCAACTGTCCGTCGCATCAGTCCTCCTCGGCTGCCTTATCACTTCCTTGGTCTCTGGAAGTGACCTGGGTAAGCCCCCGCCTTGATTTCAGCCTGCGCTGCCTCCTCCTTCTCCGTCGCAGCTTGTTCTTTCCCCCAGGAAGCCCAGGATGTCTAGGCCGGTGTGCCCCTACGAGGTGTTACTGCCTTCAGGGCGGTTGCAGGGGAGCGCGAAAGAGGTATATCGGTCGCTCTGGGATACCCGCCCCTTGCCCGCCAGCCGTCGCCCGTGGACCTGGTCCCTTAGGTTTTAGGCCTTTCTCCCCTAGGGGTCGTTTTGGGTACCCCGCGTTCTTTCCGGAGGTCCGCGTTGCGGTTTCCCGGACTAATCTTTGCGGACCGCCTGCCGAAGTGTATGGGTCCCTGGCCCCGCATCTGTGTTGCGCCGCGTTCTCCTGGTGCGAAGGTGTGCGTTGTGCCTCGTTTGCTTGGCAGTTGCAGGGAGCGCGCAAGAGGTATAACGGTCGCTCTGGGATACCCGCCCTTGCCTGTCATAGCCATGCCGCTCTATCTATGTTGTGCCGCGTCCCGATGCCGGTCTGGAGTGTGCCTGGCACGGACAGTGACGTGGAACTGCTTGGCCGGGCGCGCCTTGACGCCGTCGCCGCGTTTCTTTTGCCGCTCGCTCGAGGCATGCTGGCTGGAGCCTTTGTCTGTTTGCTTCGGTTATGGCTCCGCCCGTGGCGTACCGGCGCTTCTCCCTTAGGATGCCTTGTGCAATTGCCCCTGGCGGGGTCCAGGCCTGAAGTGTGGGCTGCATTGGGGCCTGTGTGCTGTTCAGTTCCCGCCCTCATGTGGGCACCGTGGACTGATCGCAAAGGTAGGCCCGCGCGGGGCAGGCGTAAACGCAGGCCAGGTCCCTCACGACTTGTGTCCGGCCTTTTGTGGTTGCTTCACTTTGGCAGTTTACCTCAGCCCTTCGCCTGTGGCCTTTTTGGATTTCCGGTGGGGTTGTGTGTCCAGAGGGCGCCCATGCTATGGCTCGGAACCCCATGCCGGGGGACCCGCCACACAACACTGGGTTCCAAGGCGGCCTGAGACCGCCGCAATTCGATGACCCTGCCATGCCTACTACGTATACTGGTGAGTGCGAGGTGCATCTTCCCTGGCAGGAAGATTGCACGCCCCCTCCGGACGATCGCGTATCTCTCCAGCACCTGCCGGCGCCGCGTGATGACTTTGCACCCGCAAACACTACTTGGCTTGGTTGTGTTGTCTACACTCCGCACTATAAGCCTGTGACGTTGGCCGTCCGGCCAACAGGTGCTGAACCCGCGTCTGAGGTCATGGATTTGCTCCGTATACACGCTCCGGGCGTACCGGTTGGCCTCTTTGATTGTCTTACGCCCCTCCACCCACAGCCACATGCAGGCTATGGTGCTTTTGTCCGATACCACAGCTGCGTCCGGGGATGTGGGGCCGAGGGTCAAGTTGCAGTCGTCCTGGACCTCACCCGTGTTGGGGGCAAGTACTTCGCGACAGTGCTCCCTCGTAGGTTAGAGTACAGGGCCCTTCTGCACTATTTTGAGCCCCTCACGAGCTACGATGAAGAGCCATGCTACTTTCATGTAGGTTGTCGTTCCAACCCATGGCCCGTTCAAGCGGTGGTAGAGCTTCGAGATGGGGATGTTATTACGGTGCTGAGGGATCGTGCAGCTCGTTTTGCAAAGCATCGCTACGAAGCCCTTTTTCAGCCACCTATTGAGTGGGGCCAGTTGCAGCATTTTCCGAGGCTCCACTTTGACGTGGGCACTTGTGCTCTGTACCGTCATCACCGGTACTGTTTTCCACTCCAGGACCAACAAGGAGATGACGCCATCCAGCACGTGATGGAGCAGCTCAACTTGAATCCTCAAGTCACGGCGATGTGCAGCTTTCCGATTCAGGATCTTGATGTGCATGGGGACCTTTGTACCTTTGTGGTCACGGTTGCCGATATCATGGTCCCTACTTCTTTGGAGGCACAGCGGCACCCACCCCGTGACATTTTTGTCTTGTTAGACTTTCGGCCCATTGGGTACAAGCCACGGTTCCTGTATACCAACGTGCCGATCGTGCACATTCCGAGCATTGCAGCCAGGTTTGACATTACCCTTCCTGCTGCTTATCAATTCGGGGTCGCCGGGGGACACCATGTGGGGCAGGACGTCCACATTGACGGGCATTCTAGGCTTCTCTTTTTTGCCAAAGAAGCCGATCCCGAAGCCTCCGTGCCTAGTCCAGATTCAGACAATACTGGACACGGTGATGATGGTCCGCATCGACAACCTGTGCCTGCGCGTGCCCCTGAGGAAGCTCTTCCGGTGGCACCGCAGATGCCTCTCCCTAGGCGCCATGAGCCAGCGCGCGACCATACCAGCGCACAACCGCTCGCGGTTATCTCCGAGGACCCTACTGGCTACTTCGATCCGACGCTTCCCGCGGGGCACAGCTGGAACGTGAGCACCAATACTGTTCCTCAGTTCGATACGTTTTCGGTTGCAGGTGCTATGTCGTCATGGGAAGGCACGTACGATCCAGCTGCTGCGGCCCTTGGGAGGACAGGTGATTTGGGCTCTGGTGAGCCAGGACCAGGGGCTTCCGCCGGCACCGATGTGCCCATGACCAATGCAGAGCACAGCCCGCTAGATCCCAGGAGCCCCGAGAGGGAACTCTTTGAGACCATTGCCCTCATCTACGCCCCTCAATATATGCCAGAGCTAGCTCGTCACAGTGTGCGTCCCTTGCCCCTGCGACGTACAGGCTTTCTTAGATGTCGTTCTGGCTGGGCGTGCTAGGGGTGCTCCGCCTGCCAGGCTCGTTGTGGCACATCCTCAGCCAGTCCGGGCTAATGCCTACCTGGTTGCGGCCCCTGTTTGGCCTGTGGCTACGGCAGCTGTGCTGCTTGATTGCACGCGCAGCAGCGGCGCACTTTTCGCTGCTGCTCTCCCCACTTTCCTCAGTCGGGAGTCTCTTCTTATTGCGGCCGGCCTTCAACAACATGATGATGTCGAGGTGTATATCCACGGCTTGCAGCAATGCCTTGCCCCTTTGCAGTGGGTTGCTTTACTTGATGGGATGACCCTTGCCTTTGTGCCGAGGACACAGCCAGCCCCGCCGAGCATTGCGCTCCGAGACATGCTCGCTACCCGTGAAGGATGGACGGGCCTGGAGGTCTTTGGGCCCCGATCTTACCCAGGCAGCCACTTCCTCATTTTGACAGATGGCCAGCCCCTCCTTTTTGCGGTTGAAGCCGGGCGACGGCGAACGTTCAAGATCGACCTTGCACGGCAGCTAGGCAGTAATCCGGAGGCGTTGACTCTTAAATCCACATGCCCAGGGCTCATAGATGTCTTCGTTGAGGGTTATGTCGTGACGGGGGTCATCGTTGCCACTGAGCAGCTCTCCCGACTTCCATGCCCTCCTGCGAGAGCCAGGGACGACCGCCTCATCATCGTCCTAGATTGCCGTCGTGTGCGCCAAGGTTTCCAGTGGTTTCTGCACAGTCAGGACGTGTTGCGAGTTCAAGCCATTGCAGACCGCTTTCGCGATACCTGCCCTCCTGGTTACCTCGTTTCTGTAACGGGTGCCACTGCGGAACGCGTGTACGGTATTCAGGTCTTTTACGTTGCACACGGGCAGGTTCTCTGCATTGATTTCGTTGCGGAGCCTGTGGCAGCACCCATTGCAGGTGATACTCTTCCTGGGCCCTCCCGCCCTTCTGATGGTCCGGCGGACACTGGAGGTGATGCGTCTGATCCTGACCCTCCTACTGACCGTGCCTCCACCAGCAGCTCACCAGGACGGAGTCGGTCCCCACACACCACAGGTGGCACAAGGTCCAGGCAAACAGCCATGGCTGCGATCGCCCGGCCTAGTCCCATGCAGTTCGTTGCGGAAGCCGGGGCACAGGCTATCGTACTGTTTGCTGCTCAATGGGCTGGGTTTCTCCAGACTTTGGTTCATGCTACTGCGGTGGTTGCGCCCCAGGTCATGCAAGCATGGAGTGTCCTCTTCGCACATCTGTGTCACATGCAGGGGCGAGCCTTGACGGCACGCCCTGGTCTTGCGGAGGCCGCAGTTGTGGGCATTGACGCTCGTGTTCCGCGGCCGTCTGCTGTGCCGGTCGACTTTGCAGAGGTTCCTCCTTGCCCACGTGATGATGATATCACTCAGGTGCAGGCTGTGTTTGTTATTTTGGCGCCCGATTACAGTCCGGATAAGGTAACTATGACTGTTACCGTCCCACAAACGGTTGCCGATCTCACTGATCTTCTGCAGGTCTGTCGTCAGCCTGCGCTGGCTGCCAACTTTCCGGAACTTGTGCCGGTCCGACCCCAGGTTGATTCTCGTTGGGCCTTGTTTGTCGCCAGGCCCTTGTGGAGCCATCGCCGCCCCACGGTTTGTTTTGACCTCACCGCCATTGACAACCGGGTTTTTGCACTTGCCATGCCACCCTGTGTCGATCGCTTTGCTTTGCTTGCTGGCGCAGGGTTGTCGCTGCAAACCGCCGTCGATGTGTACGTCCCTATGCGACGTGATCCCTTGGTGGACGGTGATGAGGTTGAGCTCCGCGCTGGCCATCGTGTCAGGTTTGCCCCGGCAGGCGCAGCAAGGTCACCAGTTGTTTACCTGGCTGCTATGCTTCAATCGCCCGCGTCATGGGGCACTGAGGACACTCTCCCGCCTCGGCAAGGCCTTGACCACATTTACTTTGTTGGGGATGTAGCAAACTATGCCCTCCCCTCGGTTCACCGACAGCCTTGGATGTACCGTGCTGCTCTTGCCGAACAGTTCGGTCTTCAGGAATCTCGCCTCACCCTCACGCCTGCGCGCCCTCCCCCGGGTAACGTTTGCGTAGTTGGCCGACAATGCCGCACCGTCACCGCCGTTGGCGACGACAGACAGGCAGGACGTGACTGCCGTATCGGCCTGCTCGATTGCAGGCCTCTGCTGCTTGGGTGGCAGCGACTCTGTGCCGAACATGGCTGGCTGGACGTCAGGTCTGTCTGGCGTGAGCTCACACAGTACGTGCCGGCTGGTTGGACGATTGTCCTTTCGGGCTGCCCTGTCGATCGTCCTTGGCTACACATCGCCCCCGGACAGGTCATTGTCGCGTCTGTTCAGCGTGAGGTCCCTGATGAGAGACCAACAGAACCGGGATTTACCTCCTATGGAGATGGGGGCACGCCTTCCGCTGGTCCTCCGGAGCCTGAGCCGGACCCTTCTGAGGGGGAGGCGCAAGCTTCTGCCCCCGGACAACATTGCGGTGACACTGAGGCAACCCCTGCCGGACGACAGCATGCTGCTGAAATATGTACTGGCCTCGCCGGCGTTTGGGTTGTTGCCAGCGGGGTGCTTTCTGCCATTGCTGGCATTGTTGTCCGGTGTGCTCGCCCCACAGGGAGGCCACCGAGGCTTCTGCTCTTCCTTTTGGTTGTCGCCGTCGCTCCTGTCGTGGGTGGACGGTCAGGCGAGGTCCACGCTTTGACGGCTGGTGAGTCTAGCCTACGCTTGGCAGATGTTGCAGGGGTGTGCCATGTCGGCCGCCGAGGGGACTGTAATGACAGGCTCAGGGCTAATCGTGGCCGCCCCCTTCCAACTCCCTGCCGTAATCTGCCAACAGCGCAGGAATCGGGACGTGAACGTCAGTCCCTGGATGCTTTGGAGACTCTCTTGGACGAGTGTGTTGCTCAATCTTCTGAATGGGCTTTTCTTGCTGTTACCCTTCTTGAAACAGTGATTGACCACTTGGCCGTTCCTCATGTTAGGGCTGTGGCAAGAGGTCCCGAAGTCTCTCTTGAACGACTTGTACCCATTTCTGCCTTTCAGCAACAGAGCCTGGCCTTACAGGAGATCCTCCCGCCTCCCGTCCAAGACATTACGCGAGCCACCGACTGGCTTGACAATGATCTCAGTGCCTTGCTCCAGTTTTCAGAGATTTCTCTCACTCTGCGTACGGCTTTTCTGAACATACGACTCTGGCACGACAGCCCAGTATGGGATGCAATCACCAGGGTCGACGTGTTCACGGATGGCTCGGCCCTTGGCAGACATGAGCCGCTCCGTTCTGCTCCTGCAGGCTGGGCGTTCACTGTGTGGGTCACCGTTGGAGCCGTCAACTATTTCTATGGTGCAGCTTCAGGGGTGGCAGTGCAACCAGGATCTCCCGTTTATCTTGGAGAGACTAGCGACACGCCACTCCAGAGCGAACTTCTTGCGGTCTGCTGGGCCTTGGCATGGATCTTGGAGTACGGCCCAGGTTTTGCGTGCCCGGTTCACCTCAGATATGACTGTCAAGCGGCAGGTCGAGGTACCTTCTGTGAGGCTGTTCCGGCCCAACTTGACGGCCCAGGGGTAGGTCCCACACTCAGTCAGTTCGCGAGCCTTCTTCGCCAGTGTGTGCAGTGTCGTGTAGATTTGGAGTCCAGCTACGTGCCGGGACATGCCGGCTACATGGGTAACGAGCTCAGTGATGGATTTGCCAAATATGCTCGTTTGCATACGCCACAGTCCAGTAACGACCTCTTGCCGGAGTGGCCTAGCCGTCTTGCTCAGCACCCGCTTGTGGCTTGGGCTTGGCTCGCGGCCGGCTATGCCCCTGATCTTCCACGTCTGTATGCGTTCGAGGCTGCTGCAGCTTGCTGGCAGGCTCACCGGACGGCGCGTAGTGCCCCGGTCCTGGGCGTCAGCCAGGCTCCGACGCCCTCCCAGCCAGTCCGCTATGATCTCACTTTTGCAACATATAATGTCCTCACCCTTTTGGACCAGCCACAACGTCGGGACCGGACAGTGTGTGCACGTGCCGGGCTCAAAATGGCCGGCAAGAGACACCTCCTCATCGAACAATGCCATGCGGCCGGTGTCCGGGTGATTGGACTACAGGAGACACGGCTGCAAGACACGGCCACTTTGCCTGACAGTACTTACTTGCTCCTGCATTCCTCTGCCACGGAGGCTGGGCACTTCGGATGCGCCTTATGGCTCAGCAAGGTGTTGCCATACGCGCGAGCTGATGGGCGTCCGCTGTTTTTCGATGCCACACATTGTGCTGTTGCTGCTTTGTCTCCTAGACATTTGCTCGTCACAGTGAGTGCGCCGCACTTCAAGTGTGCCTTTTTGGTTGCGCACGCCCCGTCTGATCCCCAAGGTCGTTTAGGTGCAGCCAGGGAGTTCTGAGCACAACGCACAGCCGAGCTACGCAGGCTCCCCACAGACCTTCCGGTTGTCCTTCTGACTGATGCGAATAGCCGCCTGGGGGGGCTACTCAGTCCGGCTGTAGGTGGCCATGGTGCAGAGGAGGAGACTGTGGCAGGCTCCTATTTCCATGACTTTCTGCTCAGCCACGCGCTGTGTCTGCCGTGTACCTTTTCTGGTGTTCATACCGGGGACACGTGGACTTGGAGCTCCGCCAGAGGGGACCGCCACAGACTGGATTACGTTGCGATTCCACAGGGCTGGGTCGAGTTTGTCACCAGTTCTCGTGTGTGGTATGCGTTGGAAGCCATGCAGAAACGTGATGACCATATCCCTGTTCTTCTGCGGTGCACCTTTCAGCGTGCGGTGCGGGACAGGCCAGTGGATGTCTTCAGGCGGAAATCTTGTCGCCCTAATGACCTGGATCCCAAGCTTGATCGGGCTGTGTTTCTTGGTCAGCTTGGGCGTTCGTGTGTTCCGACCTGGGACCTGGATGTGGATAGTCACTTCGCCCATTTTGTCCAAACCTGGACTGCAGCGGGCCAGACCGTTATTGAAGCTGCGGCTGCCGCCCCGCGTCAATCTTTCCTGACTGGGGATACCATGAAGTTGGTCGACGCGCGCAAGGCTTTGCGTGCATACCTCAAACAGGAGGAGGCGGAACTTGCGCGCCGTTATCAGTTGATTGGGTTTGCTGGCTTCGTCCTCCACATGCAGGGCCGCACCTTCAGTGAACGGGCCCGTGCCAGGGCAGGTCTTTGGTTGCGTGATGTAGAGGTCAGCATCGCCCGGGCTTGGGCTTCCCTTGGGCTTGCATGCCGGCTCCTCCGTCATGCTGTGCGGACCGACCGCAACCAGTACTTAGAGAAGCTTGCTCATGAGGTGACACTCGCAGACCTCAGCAGGCCCAAACAGTTGTATCAACGGGCGCGGAAAGCCTTTCCCAAAGCGGCCTCCGCCAGGCGATCCCGCTTTACTGCGCTTCCAGCGGTCGAAACTAATGATGGCCTTCTTGCAACGACGGCCGAAGACAGGGCCGAGTGTTGGCGTGAGCACTTTGCCGACCAGGAGTGTGGAGTTCCCACCAGCCCCAGAGCTTTCCAGGAACGCCTCTTTCAGGCGGACCGTCGTCACCATGTCGGTGGCTCCCCAGTCTTCGATGTCTCGCTTCTCCCCAGTCTTTCGTCCATCGAGGCTGCAGTGCTAGGGCTTCGGCGTGCCAAGGCTGCTGGGCCCGATGGCATCACGGCGGAGCTCCTGAAGGTTTCTCCGGGGTTGGCTGCCAGGCACCTTGTTGCATTGCACCTGAAGAGTGTCATGGCAGTCCAAGAACCTGTGGAATACAAGGGAGGAGCCCTTATGACACTAGCCAAACGGGCCGCCGCCGCTTTCGGTCGCAACAAATACCGGAGTATACTTCTCTCCAGTGTCACCGGTAAGGTGTTCCACAAGGGGATCCGCGACCACCTGACTCCTGCTTTCCTGCAGCACAGCCCAGACCTTCACGGTGGGGTTAAGAGTGGGGTAGGGGTTGATACGATCTCGTTGTCCGTGAAATGTTTCCAGACACATGTGAGCCGCTCCGGGGGACTTCCTGCTCTTGTCTTCTATGACGTGAGGGCCGCCTACTACCAGGTTGTGCGTGAGACTCTCACTGGTGATGAACTGGATGACCGAGTTCTCCTGCAACTTTTTGCCCGTTTAGGTGTGCCAGCTTCGGCCTACGGTGAACTGCGGGATCACTTGTCGCGCCTTGCATTTCTTGCGGACTGCGGCTGCTCGGCGCATGCCGTTGCTCTGGCCAAGGAGGTTTTCACGGGAACATGGTTTCGACTGGACCAGCATGCTCCTTTGGTTGCAACGGCTGCAGGTGTTAGGCCAGGCGATCCTCTTGCGGACATTATGTTTGCGATGAGTTTCAGCGCCTATGTCCGTTCTGTGCAGGAGGCCCTCGGGCAACGCAGCTTACACACTGATCTGCCTGCCAGTGCTTGCCAGCCCCCTTGGCATGCTGACTTGCCGCCCACTGTGCTGGGGCCCGCCTCTTGGGCGGATGACTTTGTTGCTATGCACTCTGCGCGTACCGTTCCGGAGGTCATTGAACGTGTGCGTGCGGCCACCTCCGTCTATCTTGAGCATGCTACCGCCAATGGCATCCAGTTGGCGTTCGCAGCTGATAAAACTGCGGTTGTGCTTCCTCCCGCTGCTAGCCACGCGGACGGTGTGGGCATCCATCGGGACGGAGCCGAAGCATGGCTGGAAGTCCCCAATGCCCTGACTGGCGGCGCAGCGTGCCTCCCGATTGTGCCTGCGTACAAGCACCTTGGCAGTATCATTACCAGCGCGGGTACTGTCCTGCCAGAAGTGCACTACCGGCACTCACAGGCTACCTGGACTTTGAAGCCTCTAAGGGGTGTACTGTTTGGCAACCCTGGCATTCCGATGCACGTGCGCCGGCACCTCCTTGCCTCTCTTGTCACCTCCAAGTTTGTTTTCGGTTCCGCGACGCTGGAGTTGCATGTTGCAGGTCATTGGAGGTTGTGGGCACGGTTGTACACCTCTTCGTACAAGGCCCTCCGTCCCAGGTCACAGGCGTGCCAGCCCTTTCATTCTTACGAAATTCTCGCCAATGCACAGGCTAGCACCCCGCCCCTGGCGCTCGCCAAGGCAAGAGGTGGTTTTCTGCTGAGGCTTCTGGAGCGCGGGCCTGCGACCTTGAGACAGCTCCTCCTGCTCCAGTGGGAGGCGGACCCACACCGGTCATGGTTTGCACAGATCCTGCAGGACATACAACATGTCGCGTTGTACTGTACCGGTGCTAGGACGTTGCTCGAAACCGCCTGCCCTGTCCGTTCTCTTATCGAGGCCATGCAGGAGGACCGGGCCTGGTGGAAGCGGCAACTGCGGGCAGCGACCAAGCAGTGTGGGCAGGACCTTGAAGCCTGGTGTGCCGCCCGGCGTGCTGCGGATGTGGTTGCCACTCAATCCCCAGTCGGTGACGTACGGCTCGGGCTTGCCCCGTTTCAATGTCCCTTTTGTGACTCGGGCTTCACGCTTCGCAAGCACTTGGGCGTTCACATTGCTCGGCGGCATGGCCTTCCGTCGCCTGCCAGGTTATATGCTCCACACGCCACATGTGTCGCCTGCCTTCGCCATTTCCACAACATTCCTCGGGTTCAGCGTCATTACAGAGGCTCGAAGACATGCCTAACACGGGCGTGTCATCTTCTCCCGCCCCTCAGTTTGGCGCAGCTGCTAGAGGTTGAGTCTGAGGACAGGAAACGCCAGCGCCGTGTGCGCACGGGTGGTTGGCAACATTACACCACCGCGGCACCTGTGTTACAGGCTCTTGGGCCTTTACAACCCACCCGAGCGGAACTCCGGGCGTGGCTGGGAGAGGAAGCCTCTTTCCCTTTTGGCCGATCCCCCCCGTGACGAAACTGTTCACGCCTGGGCTATACAGGAGGCCTCCTTTAGCACCACCGAGGCCACAAGGACTGGCACCTGCTCCTTCTGGATGCAGCGAGTAGGGAGGACTAGTCAAACCTGAGTGCATACTGCGTACAGATTTCTGCACCAGGCTTAGAATTTGCTGCACGATTTTTGGGACGCGTCTGTCGACACTACTGTCCATCCAATGCAAAAACAATTATGGGGTATTGGAGTCTCTGGGTCCCTCAGGTACTGCAGGATTTATATCATCAACAGTCGTGTGACGACGGATCATTGCTACAGCCATCCTCCAGGGCTGAGGCCAGCATGAATTCCTGCCACCTTATGTAGCCTTAATAATTAGAATAAGGTTTTGGGGTTCCTTTAAAGGGATCCTTAAAGGGTTCTATAAGGGATCTATGATAGGGTTCTATATTAGGGGCCTTAATAATTAGAATAGGGCTTTGCGCTCATTATACTATACTTATAATAAGGAGCCCTCCAAATAAAATAGGTAATTATTTAGGCTCTTACATTATCGGCACAACCAGGTTCGGCACATTGCTTTGCGGATGTCCGCCCTCTCATTCCTGCTGCTTCATCTGACGATGGTGAGCTGGTACTCTATACTCAGGAGGATGATGTCATCTCAGCGTCAGCATCATCAGAAGGAGAAGCGTTGCAACAGCGATACCAGTTACAATGAGGCTGCGAATGATGGCGATTCTAACGCAAGGATGCCCCACCGTAAAGACAGCTGGCTCGAAATATATATATATATATATAGATAGATAGATAGATAGATATAGATATACACACACACACACATATATATATATATATATATATCCGGGTTTCAGGGTTCAAAGCTTGTGATTATTATGGGGTCCGATGGAATTCTCACTCCGGGCTGCACCCTCGGATTGCCACAGAAATTCCGACCCCCAAGCCTAATACCGGGGCCTTCATACGTAGATTTATATTATACTATAATTAGAATAAGGAACCCCCAAAATAGTATAGGTAATTCTTAAGGCCTCTATAGTCAACCCAATTGTGCAAGCTCCCGCCTGCCGGCTATGTACAGGGAAGACCAATTTTCCAGATCCTTGAAGAGGTCTTGCATCGTGATGACGCCATACTTAGCCTGGGCGTTGGTCGATAGTTGAAGCTGGAAGAGGCATGGAATACATGGGCCTTGATAATTAGAATAGGGTGGGGGGGCATACTTTTTAGCATACATATAGCATTGAGGAACTTAAAACATGATATCAGGACACTGTCCTGAACAAACCGACATCTTCTGGAAGCAGTCCAAGTGACGTGCATTGCCTCAGCTGAACAGCGAGAAGCACATCGCATACACTGATCTGACTGTTATTTAAGTTATACCTACACCCTAAACCCTAAAATCTAAACCCTAAACCCTAAACCCTGTGGTACCATGCCGAGACCAAGTCCCTGGATATGACATAGAAAACCCACCCGGATTTGGTTGCAGAGCCTCAGAGACTAGGACTGCCAAGGTATACTCTTGCTCATGAATGATGTCCAGTCCATATCTTAGGGCTTCGGATGATGGGATGCTGCATTGCTGGCGGCTATACAGCTTGCAGCTTGAAGTATGGATGTGGGACATGTGGAGTATTTTGTCAAGGATTCCTGTTCTAGGATGACCCGCTGTCCTCCTTCACGCAGACAGCGGGTTTACTTTCCAAAGGCTTCTTGCAGGGCCTGTCCCACCAAGTAGTGGGAGTGACAGAACCTGAACCAAAAAATTCCATTTACCCCCGAATGTTCTCAGAACCTTCGAACACTAATAAAACCACTAACTAGTAGGACGTTTATCATAAAGGTCGAAGAGACCCCCCCTGTTCGTGAGATGTTTGTGGAAAGGGTGGCCATAAGTCTGCCTCCCGGAAACTATACTACACAGGGTTGGAACGGGTTGAGGGTTTAGGGCTTTGGGTTTAGGGAAGGTCACGGGGCCCGCAGGCTACTAAGTAAGGTTTAGCCTTCCGGGCTTCTGGGGCTGAGGGCTACTGCTTAGAGTTTTGCCGGTCTACAGTCAAGGCGTAGAGTTTTGTCATCGAGTTTAGGGTTTGGGGTTTAGGTTTTAGGGTTTAGGGTTTGGGGTTTAGGGTCCAGGGTTCATGTTTGAGGAGGGTCAGAAGCAAAGCTGCGGTTGGGGACGAGGATGAAGCACATGAACCAGTACTACGGCATCCACCCTAAAACCCATAGCCCCACGGCTTCGCTCACCTCGTGCCCTTCAAACCCTGAACCCCCAAAACCCCGAAAGCCTGACCCCTAAACCCTAAACCCCAAAACCCCCAAAGCCTGACCCCTAAACCCTAAACCCCAAAACCCCCAAAGCCTGACCCCTAAACCCTGAACCCCAAAACCCCCAAAGCCTGACCCCTAAACCCCCAAAGCCTGACCCCTAAACCCTGAACCCCAAACCCCCAAAGCTTGAAGTCCGGCAAGGTGCGAAGCCGTCTGTGCAGGGTATGTCGACCTGCCAGACGAGCCCTCTTGGGCGCTTCGAAGCCCGAGGCATGTAGAGGAGACTTGAATTAATGTAGACCCCTAAAGACCCTAAGATTAAGATTAGGAGCCTCATTTTAAAAAAATAAGATTAGGAGCCTCATTAAAAACCTGATTGGGTCTACATTACTCGCTATCTCTCTCTCTCTCTCTCTTCCTCCCGCGGTCCTTGCCTTGCACTCTCCGATAGTACATACTTGGGAAAAGCCTGCTGGTTTCAACTAGGGGCTTCTAGCTGTAAATTGGATCATCTCACAGCCCACCACACTCTGCAACAGGCAGCCCCACGTTTATCACCCCATGCATCGCCCCCCAACCCTGCACCCTACACCGTAAAGCAGCATATCCCATAAATCCTATACCCTCTACTCTAAATCCCAAGCTCAACCTAACCCTAAACCCTAAACC